ACTAAGGCAAAAGAAATGGAGAATACATAGCTTATACATAGACTTATACATAGAGATGAGTTCTCATCTTCCTTCTGTGGCCTCCCTCTCAAGCGATACATTGATACAAGGTCTCAAGATGCTCTCCTCCTCTCTAACTCTCTAGCTATTCTCTCATCATTTGTGGTAGCTTAAAATCTCTTCCCTTGCAATCTTAAGCCTTACACCCTCTCTATTTATAGAAGCAATAGAGTGGTAGATGGGAGGTAGGTGGGCGGTAGGTGAGATGTGGTAGGTGAGCGGTACCACATTACAAATGTATCATTTTACCTTAGTTCATTAATTGTTGGTCAAAATAACATGGGTAATAAGAAAGGAAAACATGTTCTTTACCCACAGGCCGCTGTAGGGATTTTTTTGTCGCAAAATTCCCTTTTGTCATTTCGCTTTTTTGAAAAAAGAAACGAATGCAAAGCCATAAACGCCAGTTTGGTTTGAACCGCACCGCAGACAATAAGCTCAGCTAAACATGCCCAAGTTTTAAAGATAAAATAGGGTTTATTTATTTATTTATCTGATTATGTGTGTGAATAGTAATGTTCACTAATGTAACTAAAATCTCAATACTAGCTTGATTCCTTTTGCTCAACAAACAATTAAGTTTAAATAAAATAATTTAAGTACATGATTTAATAGAATTAAAATGATTATATTTTTTATTATGAATATTTTAAAATAATGACATCCATGATGCAATAGTTAAATATAAATTAATTTTCATTTGAACTATTTATTGCATTTGGCCATGTTAGAATTTAAAAAATGTGTGCTCGATGTGATGTTTAGTTTTAAAGTTATTTGAATTTGAATTCAAAAATTTTCATGTATCATCTCTTAATATCAATGTATCATATGCACTAGCTTAATATATGTAAAGATGATTGCATAAATAATAAACAATTACAATGGATGTTAAATTTAAAAATATCAATTGATATTGCTGAAAGATTGAGCGGTATGTGGAGCTAAATATTAATGATAAAATGATATGCTCTATCATCTTTAATATATTAGACAAATTAATGTGCTCTAGATAGGGGTATAAACGAGCCGAACACGAGCGAGCCCAGGGCCAACTCGTGTTCGGCTCAATAAAAAGTACCACTATCCGTATTCGACTCATTTATATTTCAAGAAAAAAAAAAATTTGTTCGTGTTTGGCTCGTTCGCTTGGCTAGTGAACACGAGCTACTCGCGAATAAAGAGTCGTTTTGACAACCCTATACACGATATTAAGAGTTGCGGCAAGACTTAAATCTTATTACTTATGTTAAAATATCATTTAAATATAATTTAATATATTTTTATCCTGTTTTTTAATTAATAATTTTAATTGATTATAAATCTTTGTAGTCTTGTGTAGTCAATTAAATTTTGAAAAATACTACTCTTTGGATATATAATTTAATTATTTCGAGTCAAAACGAGCTGAAAACAAACTGTTCGCGTTTTTGACAGCCCTAGTTATAGATGAAGGCATAGTTTCTAGAGTTAAAAATGAGTGCATAAAATAATAAGATATTATTGGTATAGAGAATATCACAAAGATTGAAAGATATTCCTTGTTAACTACAACTTGCTATGTTAGGTGGCCTTGATTGTGGGGCAAATAAGAAGCCTATAGCAATTCAATTGGGTGGGATATAGTAAAAAACAGATGCTTAGTTTAAAGAGAGATTGTGAATCATGTCATTGTATAGAAAATTTCTCTTGTTCGAGAAATGTATAAATGTTTCAGGAGAAAAAAAGAATATTGTTGGGAGAATTATGAATAATAAAGCACGTAAAATGTTAAGTGGCCAATAATTAGCCTGCAATAGCAGTGTTCAACAAAATTAACATCTCATATAACTGCAAATAAGAATTGATAATGGAGGATTATCTTAAGTTAACCCTGTTAGTTGGGATATTGTTGATGATGATTAAAACGTCGACGAGTGTTAGTACATATATATAGATAAGTAATTCCATACGTGCATATATATATATTGTATTCTTATGTTTTTGGTCAAAAGTCATAAATTTTTAATTACACTATTCATAACAATATTTTAACTTATAATGTGACCTAATTAAAACTGATTTGTAATTTGTTTGTCAAGTTTTTGGAATTTTATACCTTCTTTGAAAACGATCCTGTTACTCTGCTCTTGTATATTATGCCACAATGCTTTAATGATGGCCATCGCTTAAGGAGTATGTCTGAAATAGATTTGTCGATTTAGATTTGTGCAAAATGAACTTGATATAAGCAAAAGCACTAGAATCTCCAATCTTTTTTTCTCAGATGCAAACCTTTATCTCAAGCGACATAATTCAATCAAATCTGACATATAGCTTTAAATTAGTGCATTGGATAGAGATCAATTCCTAATTGAAATTATAAAAAATCAAATGGTAGATGCTCATTGAAATTTATTGGAAAACATCTAAATGAAAGTGTTCGGTTGAGTCATATTTTGTAGAAATATTTTCAATATCTAGACTTTTTTTAAAGATCATTTTGGTGATTTGATATGTTGTTTGAAAGGTGAATCTTAGTGTTCATGATCATATTATGGAAGATCTTATCTGTAGCTATGTTACTTCTTACACAAATCTCATACTTCTTTTTTTGATTTGCTGACCGTACAGGTGTAACCGAACTACTGCAACATGCTTACAACCAATCAGTGGAAATCCTCAATGAGAATGATCGGTTAAGAGAAATGCTTGAGTTAAGGAAAGATGAACTCAATTTGAGATCAGAAGAACTTAGTAAATTGGTTGTTCGGACTGATGTGGAGAAAAAGAATTTAGAGCATGAGAAAGCAAAGGTCTATTCAATATTTTGCACTTGTTGACGCATTTCATCAATTGCTAACCATACTTATTAATTTTCTTCTGATTGATTGGTGAACTGATTTTTTGCTATGTTGAAATTGTTTTGACTTCATGCAAGTGGTTGGAATGCTTGGTTGATGACTAAATTATTTTGCTTGTGATGGTTTAATGTTTATTTATCATTAAAAAGATGGAGCTTAATCTTGGCATATTTATCAATTCTCAATCCATTTTTAGGGAATGAAGAGATATCAATCTATCATCACCAACATCATCATGCTTATCCCAACTATTTGGGATTGGTCTTATGATTCATTTTTTTTCTCAATTATTTATTTTGAGCGGTGAATGAGGAGTCAATTCAAATTTATGCAAGTTTCTTTTACAAGCTGTAATTATAGTATTTGAGTTCTATTTCTTTTAATTTTTGTTCCTTTCTTATTGGTAAGCCTTATTGGTGCAATTTTGCTTCTGTTTTGAATTTTTAAATTTCTCTAGCCTCTTTTATATTGCTATGGTTGATAGGTGTTACTTCATCTTTTTCTATAATGTAATCAACAAATTGTTTTGTTTCAACCATGCATTCATCTCAACATTTTCCTTTTTATGTAGCTCAACTTGATTGTTAGTGAATTATTTTATACATCATGCTTAGACCCTTTTATCATAGAAAATCAAATTACAGCTTTATAATATGTATATATATATATATATATATAATATAATAGATCAAATGCACTTAAGCATGCCATCCCTCTATATCACTTGATTAGTTGATTTTTCATATCCACTCAAACTTTTATGTGTACCCAATCTTTGATCTAGTAAGTATAAGTTCTAATAACTATATTTTCTACAAATATTATACTCCTAAATATTTTTTATAAACATATCCATAAATCAATACAAAGCGTACAAACTTGATGCTACTCTTCAATGTGGCCCGATTGTCATTAGAAAATCTTTGGGTTTATTTTATAATTTCAAATTCTCCTTATATGATTTACCATACCTTTTTTACTAAGAGAATACTACTTGTGCTCCTTTTTCAGTTGGTCATTTCAAGTTCAGATAGTTGTCATCAGCACATTAAAATAGCTTAGCAGCACTAAAATGTTTTTTTTTATTTATTAATATGCTTGGTGTTTCTTGCAGAATGAAATGATAATCAGGACACTTGAAATAGCAGCCATGAAGCAGAAAGACGCAGATGAAAGAGTCGCAAAGCTTCTTGAAGCACAACAGGTTTGCATAAATTCACTTTTTGGAATCACGCATTCTTTACAATGATCTTAGTTACTTATAATTAAATGAACAGAAAGAAAAGGATGATTCCATCAAGAGGATACTAGAACTCGAAAGGGAATTGGCTGCAAAACAAAAACTTGAGTTGGAAATTGAACAGCTTACTGGTAAAATTGAAGTCATGAAGCATATGGATGGTGAAGAAGCCTCCATGAAGCAAAAAATGGAAGAGATGCAAATAGAACTGAATGGTAAAATTGAAGAACAACAATATATAGAGTCCATTAATATAAGTCTGACTTCCAAGCATTTTGAAAGCAACACTCAATTGCAGAATGCTCGGAAACTGCTGATAAAGGTTGTACTTTTATTGTATCTTTAAATTTTTTGTGCCATCTATTTGCTTGAACTCGATCATTGTCATAGATTCTTGATGGATTGAGTATGTTGTGCTTCCATATATGATATACTTTCTTAGTTTGCTAAAATTATTTTTGCGACTTTGTTTCTTAAAAAAAACAAATAGGGATTGGGCGATATGCTAAGTTCTCGTTCGAAAATTGGAATAAAAAGGATGGGTGCTCTCGATGTAAAGGCTTTTCAAGCTATATTTGAGAAATATTTACCAAGTGAAGATGCAAAATTTCAAGGTACATTGTTGTGTTCGGAGTGGGAAGAACATTTGAGAAACCCAGAATGGCATCCATTCAAGGTTATCATGGTCAATGGTAAAGAGCAGGTTTGTCTTTTCTCTATTTAGAAGTTCTTTTTATGCTTTTAGTGGGTGTCTGATCATGGACTTGCCATGTGCTGGACTATCATCTTGTTAGGTTAATAATTTCGTTAGCGTAAATGCTACCTTTTCTTAGTGTATGTAGCGAATGAGGCATACTTAAACTTCTATTGGGTTGAACATAGGCATATAAAACATGGTCTTGTCAAAATTTCTTTTATGTTTGTTTTATACATGTGTTATAAACAAACTATTTGAAAATAGACCAAATATATGGTAACACGTAGAGAGAAAGAAAAAATTCAAAAAAAAAATGAAAAACATAGAGAGTAATATGCAACAAATAAAAAATAGTTTGGCAAAACAAAAAATCTTTTTATCTAATCCATGACTAATTCCTATTATATATTTCATGATTAATTGTAGAGAATTATAATCTTAATTTATATATATATATATATATATATATGACAAAGTTCATACATTGGACGTAACCTTAATAGGGCGGAAGCTAAGGTTCTTAACTAGTTTGATGCACTCCATACTTAAATTAATGTATAAAGTATTTTTTTCCAAACTAGTCGGACATGCTTCAAGTATGAGTGAACTTAGACGCGACGGGGTTTAGGGTTTAGGGTTCAATATATTAATGCATGTGACTGACATCCATGTTACATTTATTTGTAAATTTATATGGCACACAGGCAAGATAAAATTTTGCTCGTTATATATTATAACTAGCAGTTGTTATTTTATATTTGTGTAGGAAATATTAATGGAAGATGATGAGAAGCTGGTTGCCCTGAAGAAGCAATGGGGTGATGCTGCCTACAAAGCAGTGACAACAGCCCTGTTGGAACTCAATGAGTACAATCCCAGTGGAAGATACACCATTCAGGAGCTCTGGAATGTCAAAGAGGACAGAAAGGCCACATTAGATGAAGTGATTGAATTTGTGCTTCAACAATGGAAGACGAGCAAGCGTAAACGATAATTTTGCGTGTTTGTCTCTTACAATATTTTGTGTTTAGGATATGTTAGAAGAAACAGTTTATTAAATTAATGTTGAAGCAGCATGAGGAAAAGGGATGGATTGACGATAACATGAATAACAAGTTGTTTACATATGCTTACACATCTGGATTGATGTTAACATGGATTTTAATGATTTAGATTCTTTTTTTTTTCAGAACCTTAATAACTTCAATTGAGATATCTGTTTCTGCATGATTAGCATCGCCATCTATACAATTTCTTGCCATCTCTTTTATAAATAGTCCTGCAAAATTGAAGCTTGCTTGATTCGTTAAATATAGCTCTAGGAAGTTGTTTTATTGAATTACCATTGGAAATTAAAAACATTTTTCATCTTTTAGTGCTTCTGAAATATGTTTATTTCCCTATTCAAAACTGCACTAACAGAAAAAAATTACTATAATTTAAAAAAATCAGAGAAATTAAAATTTTTATGTGGAAAACTCAAAAAATGGACAAAATACGATGCCTGGCCTAATTGAACTTATGAAATTGAGATTAGAAAAGTTTGCACTTCCTTTCAATTTGAGAAAGCGAAATCATAAGATATTGAACACTAGCTTGGGCTCTTGCTGCTGTGGGGGAAAATATTAGAGATGTGGTGAAGGATGATGATGAAAATTATGAATGATCAGTTGAGCAATGATGATTGATTAATGATGGTCAAGCTATTATAATCAATGATGATAGTTGGGTAATAGTACTCATGAGGGCAGCTGAGCTATGATTGATGAGTGATGACAAACAAATAACAACGATCGAGCAGTGGTGATTTGGTGATAGTTATTATAAGAGATGATTATTGACATCGATTGTAAAACAATGTTTTAAATTTTTTTAGGTATCCATGCTCTCACATTTTAGTTCCCTTTCATGTGGAGAATTAATGTCTATTTATAATTTTCTGTAATAATATTTCATAGTTTTAGTTAATATCCCTTGCTTCATTGGAAATATCATGTAGAGTCCATTACCCCTAACTCTTTTTCTTAACATTTATGTTACTCAAGCATCAATTATTAGTGATCTTAATTTTGGTAAATTTCTCTCATCAATATGGTCCTTTGATTGTATTCATTTGAGATTCATATATTATTTGCTATCTAAAATAGTATCACATAATTTACAGTACAAGATTTTGGCTTATTTGGTCCTGAATCATAACAATTTTGGTGTTTTTGGGGTTGTCTTATCGAAGTGTTTATCTAGACCATATGTTTTGTTGAAATCTGGATAAATTTGATTCCTTCTTTTTTAACTTCAAATATAATTTTAAGATTCATGCTCTATCAATTAATATTTTTGGTGGCTAATGATGTGGGTAGAATGTGATGTTATGTTCCATGTGTTTTTTATATTTTTTGTTATTATTATGCTTTTCTATGGTATATGTGGTATTATATACAATATACAAGGAAAAATTCAGCACTTGGAGCTAGGGGTGTGTTGACCCTCTCATATACTACACAAGTCCAATTGATTGGGCAAATGATGAAGGGTGAACGACAAATCTGTCAATTCATAGATGATCTCCATTTGTAAAACGGATAGCACAAACATGTTCGAACGAAATTGTTTAAGAAGGGGTCTTTCATGATTGAAAAGATCGATCATAGTGAAAACGGTAGGTCGTTGATATGACATTGGACCAAACCAGTCTAGGCCTCGTCCTGCCCCCACACCACACTCTTAGACTGCCAAAGCTATTTTTAGGCCAAATTGTTGTTATGTACGCGGTTAAAAGGTTCCGCCCATAAATACATGTATGTTCTGACTCAAAATTATTCGTATTTGATTAGTGTCATCCATACCATATTCAACTAAAAATCATTAATAGACACCAATCAGAACTTCATTGTCAATTTGAACAAAATTTCAAGCATATGAAGGACAATATTTTGATCATGATGAGTTCTAAGTGTATTAAATATTTTTAATGTATTATAACATAAATTTGGCTGATTTGATCATGTATTGCATCAACCATAAATCAAATCTAACGATTTGATCTTTTTTCTTATAAATATTGGCTGCCTAATTTTTATTTATTTATTCATCTATAGGCGAAATCTATGTTAATTCATTACTAATGTAATTGATTGATATATATAATATAGTGGAAAAATGATGGTTGAGAGCAGGGCTTTCAAAATGGCTTGCAGTTCACGAACAATTTGTGTTCTGCTACTAAAGTACCCCGAGTTTGACTCTCATTAAGCCTAACGAGCCGAACACGAACATATATTTAAGTTCGAAATGTAAACGAGCTAAATGCAAACAAATATTTGTTTGGCCGTGTTTGGCTTGAATTCTCTAGAAAAAAAAAAAAATATATATATATATATATATAAGCAAATGCTATTTTTTACTCAAATAATTAAATAATTAAATATTAAAATTAATTTAAATCTTTTTATATTAAATTTTATTCAGCAAGCAAATGCTATTTTTTAAAAAATTATTTGGGTGGTATATTTAAAAAAAATACAAATTTAGGTGTTAGATATGTAAATAAATAGGAGTTGGGCGGTATGCATCTAAATATTCCTAACTTCCTTTAATCCCATATTGGGATTTTTTACTAGAGAATTTTTGTATGCCTTTATAAAAGGAAGTCTTATATCTTGAACTTTTGCAACAATGAAATTTCGGATATGTGGAAACATGAATTTAAGCATCAAATTTGTTTATGTCTTGCAAAATTAATTAAAGTAGTTAAATAAAAATATATTAAATTAGAAAAATTTTAATATTTTTTAGTTGTTTGTGTGACATTGGGTTTTGCATTGCTTATATTTGGCTTGTTTATAAACCTAATTAATACGAGCTAATGTGGAGGTAGACAACAACAAAAATGTAAATCAAAAATACTTTTTACGAGCAATTTCGAACGACTCAAATACAAGCCAATTAAGAATGACCCAAATACAAGCCAAACCTTAATTGAGAGTATTTTGATTTATTTTGAGAGAAATTATATTATAATAAATGTTTTTTTATATTTCTTTATATTTAAAGGAAATTTTATAAATTTTAAACTTATATTATAATATTGAGTAAAATGTCAAAATAGTTCTCACAACATCTCAACATTAGATTTTATAGAAATATCAAAATAGTCTGAAATTATTTTAAAATTAAGTTATATTAGTCTTTCATAGAGACAATTTGAGCCCAATTTAAAGAGTTTAGAAATTATTTTTCTTATAATATTCTAATATAATATTGACCAAAACTAGCTTTAAAAATGAGGTACTTTATGCGCATATAGCACATTAATTATCCCTAATTACATATCTCACCATCTTAAATTTGAATTTAAATTATAAACACCCAAATACCGCCTCATAAAGTAGTGTTCCTCGTTCTCACTTCGGAGCATATCCCTTCTGGAGTCTGCGAAGGGTAGTGATCTCCTTCATCAGCCCGCAAGCTCAGCGTGCAATCTCCGTCTATTTCCGCCTCAAGGAACAACAGAAGCGTCTATTCTTCGCTTCGGCTCGGCTGAAGCCGCGACATCCTCCTTTTCAGTTCATTCATTGCCAGAATCCGACGTGCCCTAACCTAGTGAGCGGATCCTACCCCTCTCCATTGCCTTTTAATATTCGAAACTATAATGAATCCACTGAAGTCCTTAGAATCTCCATCTTGCATATGCCTATCGAACTAGGTTTGGCCGTGTGCTCGTGAATTTTGCTCATTGTATGTGGATCAAATTATCTATATTCTCTGGTTTTTTTAGGCTTGTTTAAAGCCGAATCATATAAATATTAATCTTTTTTGTGTTGTTGCTTTCTCTTTCTCTTTCTATTCATTTTCTTTGTAGCACATTATTCTTGATCTTTACTGCACTCTCACTTCATGCTTAATTTATTGTCTTATTACAAAAACTAAAATTAGAGTGATGTTATGGAGGTGATTGGCATCTCATATTTGGGAAGCAAAAAGGTATTATCTTTTGAATTTTAAGAGAGGTTCTAGAACATGTTTATGCATGAGATGATGGGAGGACCTTTGGTGATTTGATGGTTAAAATTTTTATATAATAGTTTGTTTCATTGTGAGTCACACCATTGTAAATTTCAAGATGAGCTGTTTGATACTTTGGAGTTGTAAAATATTTTTTTTGTCGATTTACTTCTAATTTTGATGAATTCACTCTTTATGAAATGTATATGTTCTGGAGTTCTCCTGCATATGTTTAGTTGTGCATTGCTAAGCCCTTTCGTGGGTATTCAGAGCTTACATGCTTGATTTAAAGTGGAAGTATAAAGGATATCCAATTTTCCATAATATTGATTACAATGCCTGGCTATAAGTTTTTACTAAGGATTGGCTAGCCAATCACATTGTTGGCATTGGGACAATAAGGTTTCTAAAAGAAATTTCTATAAAATCATTTCGAGAGGTATGAAATATCTTTGGACTAAGATGATTTTGTGTGGATATTTGTGCTCCATTGTATTTATAACACCAATACCAATAAGCTCTTAATGGTGTTGGATACTTTGCACAAAATTTTTAGAAAGGAATTCCTTATAAGAATATTGTCGATGTTAAGACATTTCAAGCCGTTAGTGTTGGAGTGGGAGACACAATGAAATATACATTTCAAGATTTGATTGAGATTTATTTCATTTCATTTTATTTTTTAAACTTAATATCACATTACAATTGGTGAAAGCTAATAATATTTGATATTGATTAGCTCATGCCTTTTTTTTTAAGTTATGCTTGTTCAAACTTTGAGTCCCACTATTATTATATGCCTGTCATGGTTTCATACTTCCTTTGTTTTGGATTCTTTATTGTGGCTTTTAATGGTAAGCCATGGATTGCATGCTAAGTTATCTGGCAAGCATTATGAGTAGTGGAGGCCCTATTAGATAAAAAGGCTTTTCTTTTGATTGGCTTGTTACCATGATGCTAGATTGATGAATTGTTATTATGAAATGAAATCTTTGCTCTCCAGGTCACAAATTTTCTTTATTATCTGTCTTTTTGGGTCACTGCCTTTGTCATCTATGTTTCTCTCTCGCTCCCACATCCTTTAATTTTATCCTCTCTTTCTCTCCCTTGGTCCCTCATCAATACTCATTTGTATTCTTTTATTTGACCTATAACATCATTTTCTATAGGAATCTTTATGAATTTAAGTGGTAGCAAGGTGGTCCATCTAAAATCATGAAACACATTCAAATAAATACTTATGAATTATATGTTCCAGAAAGTTGTGTGATCAATATAATCTTCATTATATATGATTTGATGTATTTCATGAACATGCACCACATCCACTACTCTGTTGTATGATTTTGCACATATTTTTTCTAATGCTATCCTTGAAGATATCTCTATAGCGGTTGTAGATGTTTGTGAGTGATTGGTGACAAAATCAAGAGCCGTCGTGGTTGAATCAATGTCGTGATTGATGTGGTAGTCAAAGGATTTGAAGGAGATTTAGATGAGAGGAGGTAGCAGCGGGTGATATTGGGTTGTGAGTTTTCTATATGCTTTTTGAGTTATTTTGGGGTTGTGGGGCTTTGGCTACAATCATAGGCAAAACTTTGTAAATCAATGGGCTGGATTGTGGAGGTTGCAATAATAGAATGTGAGAGATGCGTAGAAGATGGCACATGCGAGGTCAAGGACGGGGTTGCATGAGCGAGATAGTGGTTGTGTGAGGCTAGGGTGCTTGACTGGAGAAGTTGCGTGAGTGGACGTGTGTAGAACTAAAAATTGCATGAGCCATAAGTGTGATGCTGCAATGAATGAGCAAGGCTATTAAATATTAATACAACGGGTAATGGTCGTGAATTCAACTTCGAGCACAAGGTTGGATTCACGAGCAATAAATGAGGCATGTGAGATGAACACAAGTGCTTGAAACAAACATAAAATGTCGAGAGATTATTGGAATTAGAGTATGGATGCGAGTTAGTGAATTTGAACTATGATGGTAAAATTTGATTGAGGGCTAAGAAGGAAAGCCCATGCATATAACTTGGATCTAGAAAGCACTTAGTTGGTCACAAATCATACTAATTTTTATTATGAATCTCTATTTATAGAAATGAGTTGACAAATATTTAAATGCAATTTTGATTCCTAAAAAAATAAATTAACTTGTGCCAATCTAAAGGAAGATAGCACTTAATAAAATAAATTAATTATAAAGAAATGAAAAGGAATTTGGCCATGAGTAAAATGGGCCTGAATAGGTTTGAAAATGAGCTTAGTGTACTTAATGTAAATGTGTTTTGTTTGATTTCTTAATTAGCTTAATGAAAGACTGGATCAGCTTAATCCTGCATGTGAAGACCTCCTGTTCCGAACCACTTCTCATCTTGTGTACTCAAACCTCGCATTTCACCTAACCACAACCCTTACAATCCTCCTTCCCACCAAGATCTTACACTTGCTTCTTTTGTGCACGTCCAATTCCTATTCAGGAGAAGCAATGCTAGGGGATAAGAACCCTTCTCTCTATAGCAGCCACATCAAATCCTTTCATTTTTCTCCTTTTTTTCCTACCAAGTCGAACTCCTCTGACAAATATCTTTCAAAGCTACCTTTTTTTTCTTTGTTTTCTCTTCTGGTAATAATGAGCTCTTATCTTCTCTGGACTGCGAGTGATTCTTCTTTTTCATCTTCCTTTTTATCTTCTTCTCTTCCTTGACTTACACCTTTCTTTTCATTATGTTTGAGTTGCTGTTGTCAAATTCTCTGCTCAAGTTAGTAAAAGGAGATTAGATTAAGCTGGTTTAAAATTTGTTTAGTTGCTTTTATTTTATGTGGCTAACTCATTTAATCTTAGCTTTAGGTTTTGATGTACTTTATTTTAAAGTTCAACTTTATGTCTAAGTTTAATACTTTTGGAGTTAATTTCATCATAAGTGTTATTTAGTCCATGTTGAATGCGGGGTAACCTATGTCAAATAAGGTTGATCGTATTTTTAATAACTATTAATGTTTAATGCTTTTATTAATGTATTTGGGTGATTAATTGAAAGCATGTAGAATTATGAAGTTAAGTCTCTATTGGTTCATTATTTGGATATTTACTAAGGCTGGAGTTTTGTACAACACATAACTTTTTATTTATTAAGGTATAAATATACCCTTCTTTGTAAAAGATGTTATTCTTGATGTTTTATAATAGGTTCCTAGCTATTTAGTGGTTTTCAGTTCTACTATTGATATTCCATTGTTTACTTTAAATCTCATATTTTTCTTTTTTAGTTCATAATAAGCCTTGATGCATTGCTGATAAATTCTATTTATTGAACTATTTACTGTAATAGCATGATTTATTTTTCAAGCAACTTAACTTTGGTGAATGCAATAAATTTATATTCCAAAATTAGAAATTTCCACATTGCCTTATATATATTTTCTCTTGAAAAATTGCTTATGAAATATACATAAATTGCATGCTTGTGTACAGTGATGTAAGTTGGTAGAACTTTTTAGATATTGGTTGAGTGATGTTTGTATTAGAAATTATTGGATTTTCATGTGCTGGTCCTTGCCTTCTTTTGTTTCTGGGTGTTTTCATAAAATTGAATATAAATACAGAGTTAAATAAACAATAAAATGATAAACTGTCATATTTGAAAATTTATGATTGTAGTTGATATGATAGCACATGGATTTATTAGAATAGGATTTCATTGATTATAGCGTATTATGAAGATGATTATGAATATTAACCTCCTTGAAATCATTTCAGAACATAGGGCACATTTTGTTTATGCTTTGCCATATTATTATTGTAACCTAATAATATGGTGACACTGTTTACTTGTTATTATATATTGATTTGTGCGCTCTTAGTGTTCATGGTTTATGTAACAAAGTCTTACCAGTTGTGCTTTAATAAGCACGAGCTAATTGTTGAGTTTGAGTTATCATTCTCATTCGTAAGTATTCCTTATAGCAAAATTCTATAGGGTGCTTAATGGAACATCACTACACTAACAAACTTTTCAACAATCATTTTTTATTTGTTTTTTGAGTTTATGTTGTATTATTATTATTTTCTTTGTATTTATGTTGGATTTGATTAATTTTGCTTCTGCAGTTGTTATTTTCATTTTCTTTTTCAGTAATCATTGTTATTATTTCTTTGTTGTATTAGTGTTATGAATTCTATTAATTAAATAAAATCATTTTTAGTTTCCTTCGCTTATAAGCTATTTTTAATTGTTTGTATATGAAACTTTCTGTTGTTAATAAGACACATGTTTAACTTGACCTTGATTTCTGAAATTTAATTCAAAAGTTGAGCTCTATTTCTTCTTTGCCACCCGTGTTTTCGGGTCGTAATAATTTTTTTTTATTTTAAATGGTTAAGAAGCTTGCACTCCTATTTTCACATATTATTGATGCGTATTTATTGGGAAATTTTGGTTGTTCAAAAAAAAAAATCTATATCTTCTACTAGTGAATGCCAAACTGCTTCTGTGAATACTGGTTGTAACAGTCTGCATCCTCTGAAACTTTGAACAATTACTTTAATTTTTCCTTTTTCAGTTCATTTAATAGATGGATGATAGCTCAGGAGATGAGTCAGAAATAAGTGACTCTCAGATTCCTGAACAGAAGGAGAAAGCTTTTGCAGAGTTGAAATCTGGGAAACATAAAGTGAAAAGTGCAAATGGCTTGTACAGATGTCCTTTTTGTGTCGGAAAGAAGAAGCAAGAATATCATTATAAAGATGTACTTCAGCACTCTATGGGAATTGGTTCCTCTAATCGTAAAGCTAAAGTGAAGGCTAACCATCTTGCATTGTCAAGATTTTTAGAGAAGTATTTCACTGAAACAACGAGCCCATCATCGCGGTTGGCGGTTTCTCAAAAATCTTCTAAAAAAGATAATGAAGAGTTGTTTGTCTGGCCTTGGATGGGTGTCCTTGTCAACCTTCTTACTGAGTTTAATTGTGATGGCAAGCCAGTCGGTCAAAGTGGCAGTATGCTGAAAGAACAACTGTCTAGATTTAATCCTTTAAAAGTCCATCCACTATGGAGTTCCAGAGGACCCATAGGAACTGCAATTGTTGATTTCAGGAAGGATTGGCCTGGCTTCAATGACGCTCTAGCATTTGACAAATATTTTGAAGCTCGACACCTGGGTAAGAAGCACTGGTACCATCAAAAACATGTTGCTCCGGAAATGTACGGATGGATTGCACGTGCTGATGATTATGAGTCTCCTGATAAAGTTGGGGAACACTTGCGAAGAAATGGTGATCTAAAATCTGTTTCTGATGTTACCAGAGAAGAGAATCGGAAAAATGAAAAACTTGTTGCAAATCTTGCTAACGTGATTGAAGTGAAGAACAAGGATTTACATGAACTTGAATTTAAGTACAACCAAACCACCTTATCTCTCGATAAAATGACGAAAGGTAGCATGATGTATTTTGGTGGCAATTTTTTGATGCTCCATTATTGACCCTGCAGTTTAAATTGCAGCTTTCTTGTTTATATATCCTAATTACTATACCAGCTGAAATGATCGGAAATGCTTCCAGCTTGGCTTTTTATAACTGTGTTACTTTTGGTGAAAAGCGTGTTTACGGTCAAAGCCTTTTGTTAACCAAAGTTGGCATTACATTGGAAAAATTCTTCATAATATGGCTTGTTTTCATCTACACTGGAAGTTTCAGCAGTTTCATTTTGTCTTATCTTGTTTTATCGGATGTTGTTCTTTTGCCCAACTCCTTGAAGAATTCTTACAGGAAGTGAATTGGTTCTTCTGAAAATGTATATGTTGACCCCATATTTGGTAGATAATCAATTACAATAACTAGTAAGTGCCACATGTTTGTGACGTGGGAGCTTACCGTCACGGCACTGTAGCTTGTACAGTACCGCATACAGTACCACTGACCCCCTTTTTCCTATTTGATCCCTTACTTTTTCTATTTCCTTTCTATTCTAATTTCTTCCTATTCTAACTACTAATACTTATTATGAATATGTTGTTTGCCGTCTTAGGGTTTGCTTTTGGTGAGTTTTATTTTAGATTTCTGTCAGGACAATAATGGAGCTTTGAGATTTTCACATTCACCTAAAGTTGAAAATTTATGTTGATCATTTTTAGTTTGGAAATAATAATGTGCAAGAAAAGATAAAATATAAGAAGTTATGTTATAAAAATTGGTCTAAATGTAAAAAACATAGAGAACTCGAAAAAATATCAAACGACCCGCAGGTAGTCTAAAAGAACAATTTGTTGTGATGCTAAAAAAATTGTTTTTAGTGATATTTATGATAGATTAGATACTAAGGAGGGTGAAAAATATATGTATAAACTAGCCAAACAAAGAGAAAAGAAAAGTAAAGATTCAACTCAAGTAAAATATATTAAAAATGAAAATAAAAAAAATGTTTTACTTAGAAAAAGATGTTCAACATAGGTGAGTGAGTTATTTTGATAAGTTTTTTAATGAAGTATTTGAAAATATGATTGATCTTAGTGATCTTAATATTGTTAATAATAATAAAACATTTCATTTTTATCGTTGCATTAGTAGAAAAAAAAATTGAGAAGGCTTTAAAGAAAACTAAGGGTGGAAAGTCTGTAGGACCTAATGATATCCCAATTGAAGTTGATATCCCTATCCCAATTGAAGTGTGGAAATATTTTGGAGATTTGAGAGTTTCTTGGTTTACTAAACTCTTTAATATTATTTTAAAAACTAAAGAGATGCCTGAGGAGTGGAGGAAGAGTATTTTGGTCCTCATTTTTAAGAATAAAGGGGATGCACAAAAGTGTGCAAACTATAGAGAAATTAAGTTGATGTGTCATACTTTAAAATTATGGGAGTGGGTAATTGAACATAGGTTATGGCCTATTACAAAGATTTCTCATAATCAATTTTGTTTTATGCCGGGCAAGTCTACTACAGAAGCTATACATTTATTGAGAGGTTTGATGAAGAAATTCAGAGATAATACGGAGGATCTATATTTGATTTTTATTGATTTAGAAAAAGCTTACGATAAGGATCCAATAGATATCCTTTGGAGAGTTCTTGAGAAGAAAGGTGTTGATATGACTTATATTCAAGTCATTTAAGATATATATACTATAATTGTTACTTGTGTTCGAACTCAAGGAGGATTGACCAAATATTTTCCTATTTCTGTTGGATTACATCGGGGATCGGTTTTAAACCATATCTTTTAGCTTTAGGTATGGATGGTCTTACTGGACATTTACAGGAGGATGTACCTGGCGTATGGTTTTTGCTGATGATATCCTTCTCGTGGATAAGACAGGAGAAAAAGCCTAGGAAAAACTTGAATTATGGAGGTCCACATTGGAGTCTAAAGGCCTTCATTTGAGTAGAACCAGAACTAAATACATGAAATCTAATTTTAGTAGTAGTAGCTCTAGTGACAGAAGTGTAACTTTGGGTGATCAAATTATTAGAAGGTGTGATCGATTTAGGTATCTCGGGTCTATTGTTCAAAGTGATGGTGATATAGATGGTGATGTTAATAGTAGAATTCAAGTTGGTTGGTTGAAATGGAGGAATGCTTCGAGCTTATTGTGTGATAGAAAGTACCGCTTAGATTGAAAGGAAAATTTTATAAGATGGTGGTGAGACCTGCAATGCTCTATGGCGCTAAATGTTGGACTTTAAAAGAGAAACATAATACTAAGTTAAGTGTTGTCGAGATGAGAATGATTAGGTGGATGAGTGGCTTTACACTTAGAGACAAAATGCGAAATGATTGTATCCGTGATAGGGTTGGTGTAGCTCCAGTGAAGGACAAAATTAGAGAGAGTCGTCTTAGATGGTTTGGTTATTTTAAATGTCGACCATCTGATGAACCGATTAGGAGAATAGATGTTTTAGATTCTACTTATGTTAAGAAAGGCAGAGGTAGACCTAGGAAAACTTGGGTTTATTATATATAAAAATGATCTTAATTTATTAGAATTAAATGAAAATATGACACTAAATAGGACGCAAAGGAGAAAAAGGATTCATTCAGCCGACTCCACTTAGTGGGATTTAGGCTTTTTTGTTGTTGTTGTTCTATTTCTAGTTTGGAAATAAGATTGTTAGACTGTAATTAATTACGAAATTTAGTAAGGATTTGTTGGAGTGTAACTATTTTAATAATTAATTATTCAATTCCTCCTTTATAAATTGTATATACAATCTTGACATGATTAGTCTTATCATGGTAGATATTTTTAGCAATGCTATTAGCAGCTTTATTGCCATACATCACCATTGGTTATGTTGTGAAATTTTTTTATTCTTCAATAATTCATCCAAGCCATAAACATACATAAATTTTTTGGACCATGGCCTCATCATTTTACCATATGCTTTAAGCAATAGCAATGTTATTTTTTACTTCTTTGTGTCTAAATTTTCCCATTAAAAATAAGCAATATCCAAATGTGAATTTATGATCAATTAAAGATCTTGCCCATCCAATATTAGTGAAAATTTTCATACTTTGATTAGTTTCTTTCTCAAAGAATTCATTTGTTGTATTTTTAAGGTACCGTCATATCCTATATACAACTTAATGATGTTTTTATAAGGTTAGTTATACATCGATTAACATCACTACTTGGAAAGTAAATATTGGGTCTCATGTAATTTAGGTTGATAAGTTTATCTATTATTCATCGGTATCTCCCTTAGTGCCAAGTTTGCTTAAAGAGTCCATTAGAGTGATTGCAGGCAGACATCTTAGTATACCAGTTTCTTTAGTAAATTTAAGTTGTATTTCAGTTAAGATACAAATGTCCTCTTGCCTGATTTTACCATTTTTATGTCTAAAAATAATTTAATGGACCAAGATAGATTTCAAATTTTTTTTGCTAAGAAATGTTTTATCTTATTTATCTCTTCTCATGATTTATTGTGAGGATGATATTATCAATATATAAAATTAAGATAATATATTTAAATTCATTTGATGTTTTGGTAAGCAACTGCAGCCAAATTGGCCTTAAAAGTACACATATCATTTTAATCACCACTGTTAGGGTTATAATTAAGTCAAGTTGAGCCAAGTATGTGCTGGAGTGGACATTGATTGGTCATAATATAATTTCATGTTGACTCGAACTTGAGATGACCTTTAACATATATGTTCATACTAGGCTTGTTTAAATTTTTTAACAACCGTACTTGATTTATTTATATTAATTAAATGAGTACTTTAATGAGTTGATAAACAAACTAAGTTTGAATTAGATTTCAGCTTTCCATACAAAGTTATGGACAAAGAATTTTACAAATATAAAAACAAAGAAGAAAATGAATAAATTATGAATTAGAATCTTATTACTTTACATTAATTAAATAAAATAATATATATATATTACAAGCAAATTTTCTTCGATCAAATAATATAAATAAGTATTAACAATTTAGTATGAATTATTTATAAATACCAAATAAGTTAATATTAAAAAAAAAATAAAATAAATCTAAAAAAATTATTAACATTTTTTAGGATTTTAAGCATTTTGTGTGAGCGACCTATATTTCATGAAAAGCGAAAAAAGGGCTTGAACGAGGCAAAACTATGGAAGGGCAATAAATGCTCTGAGTTGTTGAGTTCTGAGCGAACCATGATTCTAGGAAGGGTAAACAAAATGCTAGTATAATAATATGAATTTTTAATTAGTAGTTAGATATTATATTTCTATATAATGATAAATTAATTAATATTAAAAAGTGTGAATGATTGAATATGATGGGTACTGTTGTATTATTTAATAATTAAGTTATTATAAAATAGTAATAAATAAAATAAATATGTAAATCCTAAACTATTATTTATATTTTTCATGTCTTAATTTAAAATATGATGTGATAGTTATTAAGCTAGTTGAACTTAATAGTTGATTGGGCTCATTCGAAGTAAGTTTGCCTTTCAACCCTTGGACATTTAAAGAAAAGTTCAAGAAGTTTGCTTGGATGCCATTATTACCATGAAATGTTGTTTTATGATTGGAATTGGCACCCGTGATGTAGCTTCTTTTCAAGGCCATTATGTTTTTAACTATCATCATGGTTAAATTAGGTAAGACGATAAAAAATTTAAGAGAAAGGATTAGAAACCTTAGAGAAAATGGAAATAAGAGAAAGTTGTCTTTATTACATTTTTTCTTATTTGATTAGATTGATGTTCTATCTATTTTATTGGAGATATAAATCCTAATCAATGTAATTAAAATCAAAAGTATAATAAGGAATTAATCGGACTGAAATCAACCCAATGATGGAAAAAACATAGAAGATTTTAAGGAAGATCAAATACAACAAAGGTTATGTTTTCCAATTTGAACTATTTTTAAAAATAATGACATCTATGATGTAATAGTTAAATATAAGTTCAAATATTTATTTAAATTTTAAATTGAAATTTACATGTTTTTATTGAAAATAATATATACATGATGTGATAGTTTTTAAATGTATTCGTATTATAATTCAAAATTGTCGTGCAACATTTATATAATGTGCAAGTTTCCATCTGTTTGTATTATATGCTCTAGTTCAATATATGTAAATCATCATTGAATAACTAATAAACAATCATAGTGGATGTTGAACTCATTTATATCAAGCGATGCTATTGAAAGTTTAAATGTTTTGTAGAAATAAATATAGATTATACAATAATATGCTTTTATTTCTTGAGGACATGATTTCTAAAGTTAAAGTTTGAGTGTTTGAAATAAGAAGATGTATTATTGGTCTAGAGAATATCATGGAGATTGAAAGATATTCATTGTTAACTACTAGTAATGCTACGTGGAGTTGATTTTGGGGCAAAATAGAAGTCGTTTAGCAATTGAGTTGAGTGGGAAATAGATGAGATTGTTAAGTTTGCCAATTTTTTTAAAAAAGGGATTATATCCAAGAGACGGTGTTAATCATTTAGCTCTTAGGAATTTTTTTCTTGTTCAACAAATGATAGAAATGTTACAAGAAAATAGATAAATAAAATTGCTTTGAAGAATTATGATTAGTAAAAAGTGGATTAAATGTTATATAGTTAGTGTTTGGCCTGAAAGAGCATAATATAACAAAATTAACATTTCATATAGTAATATTTTGGCTCATACCTTTTGTTTTCATGGTTTGACCGATGAGCTTCATAAAATAGTGGTAACAAATCAAGCCAGATGACCAGTTGATTTGACCAGATGCCTTTTCTCTATTAAGGCTATGACTCTAGTCGGTATGTTCCCAAATGGTTTCATACTCTTTGAGTTATGAATCATAGAGTATACTTGATATGACACAAAACTCTCTATTAGCTAGAATTGACTTGAATTTGTCCTTTTAGATAACAATCTATCATAAGTCTATAAGATCTATTTAGACGAAATAATCTATGATTGCTGTCAAGGATCCTCCGGTTCTTATATATTTATATATATATATATTTCTGTCAAAAATTGTACCATTTTAACTATAGTATGGATGAAAATATTTTCACTTATAACGTGATCTAGTTAAGATTGATTTATTATTGTTGTTTGAACTTGATGCATTCTTTCAAAAGCTTGCAGCAACTAGAGAGCGTGAAATTGGACTACAGATGATAGCCATCAATAAAGCCTCCATCTTAAATTTGCCGATTTGGATTTGTGCAAAATGAATTTGATATAACCAAATGCACTATGCTCTTCCAAGCTTGCTTCATTAGTTGCAAAATTTTTAATGTTTTAGGTCAAGCACAAATTCAATCAAATCTTATAGCTTTAAATTTTTGGCTTGAGTAGAGATCAATTCCTAATCTAAGGATTCTCAGCAAAGAAGATACATTATAAAAATTAAATGATAGATACTCACAGATTTTTTTGCAAAACAACTCAATGAAAGTGTTATGTTTAGTTTTTTGTAGAAATAATAGCAGCATCGAGACATCTTTTAGTGATGGTTTTGCTGACTTGATATGCTGTTTGAAAGGTGAATTTTGAATTTTTAATGTTTAAGACCATATTATGGAAGATCTTACTTTTATGTTTGTAACTTCCTAGACAAATCTCAAACTTTTTTTTTATTATTTATTTGCTATGCAGATTTGAAGGAAATGCTGCATCATGCTCACAGTCATTCAGTGAATATCATCAACGAGAATGAGAAACTAAGAGAAAAGCTCGACTTAAAGAGAAAAGAGCTTAGTTTCAGGTTTGAAGAACTTAATAATTTGGTTGCTTTGACCGATGTGGAGAGAAAGAAATTAGAGGATGAGAAAACAAAGGTATTTCCATTGTTTTGCATTGGCTAACATTTCTTTCATCGATTGCTAATCCTACTGAGTAATTTTGTTCTGATTGATTAATGAATCATCCTGGGCTATGTTGAACATGTTTCAACTTCAATCAAGCATGATTGGAATCCTTGGCTGATGACTAAATTGTTTTTCTTGTAAGCATTCAAAAGATGCACTTTAACCTTGGTACCTCTATCGAGTCTTAACATAATTTGAAGGAATGAATATAAATCAATCCATCATCATCAGAATTGTAATGTTTATATGATACCGTTCTAGATTGGAAATGGATTTTATTGGAAGGTAGTTGTGGAATGGAATGAGAAGGAGAATAGGGGCAGTCAAACGGATTTTAGAAGGACATAGGTGGTGGAATCTGCTGTTGGACAGCAGATTGGTGATGTTCAGCCGCTGTCCGGATGAAAACAGCGGTCAAACAGAAGTACAGCGAAGTACGGGTGGCGAGGTGGTTCCACCATCTTTTCTCGAGCAAGATAGAGGCATACCACTTGAATAAGGAAGATGATACAACACTCATTTGAATAGAAATCATATAACATAACTTTGCAATTACACAAAAAAAAAACATGCAAGCTATTTTAAAATAACAAAATACACATATAATTACCCTTCTAAAAAATTAAACCTAATTTGAAATAATAAAAAAATGAAAAAATCAAAAGAAAAAAAATATACTAAAAATGGCAGACCCTCTCTCACATGTTCTTACTTCCTTCTCTGGATTCTCAAAATCTGGCGATACCCTGAATTTCGTAGTATCACGGTTTTCCTCGCTATCGGGATCGTGACATCCCACAGTTCAGATGCTCCCACTATGGGCTCAGAAAATTCTTGCCTCGGACTCTTGTTGTTGAGAGAGCTATGTTTTGGTATTCCGAAAATTCTCTCATTTGACTTCTAGAATTGTGACAAGTTTGAGAGATCAACATTCGACTTTTAAAACTCTTTTTTTTGTATTTGGCATGTAGATAGATTCCTTTTTGCTCAATTGATTGAGTATAGTTTTGACATCGATATATTGAATGTTAAATTGGGGAACTTGTTTTAGATACAAAGTTAACCCAAATAATAAAATATAAAATATATTTTGAGATCTCAGCCTAAAGCTCGATGTCAACCCAAATAAGCTAAAAAATATCCTGTATTGTAGGGGAAGTATTTGTGATAACTTGGAAATGTATTTATAAAAGAATTTTCTATGAAATGTTATACTCATACGGGAATAGAGCATATACTATTCTTTTTCTTGAGAAAATTTTGAGAATAGTTTTGATTAGGCTGGTATGTGTGATATTCCTTCAAACATCGATCACTGGTTGATGATATCAACTGCTCACATCTATTCTTTGCTGGAGAATGATTGGTTTTCTTAGCACCATGATTAAGTTTTTCTTTCAGAATGTTTAGAGTTAAGTTGTGACAAAGTATTAGAAATCATCAAAGTTGATTTTTTTTTGGATTTGATAAACTTCTGAAGTTTTCGTCTTTCAGGTTGAATTCGATGACATTCTCACCCACGGGGGTTAAAGATATCCTCAAAGTGGGGTTGAAGTTTTTTCTTTTTTTCTTGTTACTCTTGATGTATTGAGGAGTGAGGAGCGACCAAAATTATATTTACTAATGTGAATTTGATAACCCTTCCACCTACGAGTTGAATCTAACTAGTGATAAGATAGCTGAACAAATTTTCTAGATTCATCAATTGAAACTTTCTTCATATGAACACACACTCTTAATGAATTTTATTAATTACAGATCTTTGGGAGTACTAATCAGATGTCGCATCTTTTTCTTTCTTCGAAAATTTTTATCACGGGAGTCTGGTCTTGAGCTCTGTTTTCCCTCCTAATGGGGCTTTTTAGTGAAAGATTCCTAGACATGCAATCTAATGTCATGTTCTGATATTCACCGTGTAACGCCTACTTGAGTTTGGGTTTTTGGCTATAACCATAATGGATCGAAGATAACAGTTTCTTGATTGGAGCTTCATTGGTCCCAATAACCATAAGATTTTTACCTTTCTCTTCATTAAGTCATTTTTTTATTAACTTTCTAAACCATGTGGACTCTAGCTGGTAATTCAGAATGTTTCTTTTTATTAATTAGGGTTTAATGTTGGTGAACCGTAAAGATTGCTTACTCACCGGTAGAGTTAGTACTTTTAATTCATTTAGACTTTTTAATTGATTGTGGGTATGAATATGAATGCGCACTTCTAATAATATAGCTTATTGAACAATTAGTTACTCAGGCAATACTTGTAGAGCCCTAAATCCAATATTTTTTTCATTCTCCTTTGTCTTCTAAATAGTTTCCTTTAGTGACCATAGCATCAACGACGAAAATCTATACACCATTGAGCTGGATAGTGGTTTTGAATGGTGGGATTCCTATGAGAGAGTATTCTTATCTTTAGATAACAAAAGGATTCTTTAGCGTATCAACTACCGTGATAAATACTAGTTGCAATATCTTCTAAAATTCAATCTCAATAGATTTTTTTTCAATGATATTCCGGCCTTTCTATTAGAACCTTTAACTAGTGGAAATTTACACTTAAAACTCAAATATCACACCCCAATACTCACCAGTCAAAATTTCTCTATATGTTGGATCCTTTTAGTAGTAGATTTTTTTGGGTTAAGATCCAAGGTAATACCTCGATGCTTAGCAAACAGTTTATTTTTCTATTGAGACCTATCAACTACAAATTTCTCAATTGAAATCCACAAATTATGTGCTATTGTTCACTAAAAATTTTTTTTATTGGGAACTTACAGCAAAAGATTCCCGGATTGAGATCCACGGGACATACATCGATGCTCATCAAACGAAATTTATTTTTATGTTAAGATTTTTGTATGGCAGATTTTTGCTTTGAAGTTCACAGGCCTTGCCCCAGTACTTACCAGAAATAGTTTATTTTTCTATTGGGATCTTTCAATTGTATATTCTTAGATTTTTATCTAAGATTCATTCACCCATATTTACCAAACCAAGTTTATCTTTTTGTTGGAACATTTTGACCACAGATTTAAATTGAAGGGTTATGCCATGAAGCTCACCATACATATTTTTTCTTCTGTTGGGACCTTTAAATGGCACCCTTAGATTAAAATCTAAGAGTCATGCCTTAATGCTCATTAGACATAATTTACAACTTTTTAAGTAATTTTAATACATGAAATCAATTTTAGCTTTTTATTTTTCTTTTTATCATTCATTTTATAGTTGTTATTATATTAATTATTACTAGCCAAGGATAAAAAGGGAAATCTTCCCCAGTCGACTTGTCAAAAATTTGTAAGCTCCAAAAATTCATGCCCGAGACTCTCGTTGTTGAGAGTGCTTTGTGTTTTTGTATTTTGGGTTAAATTTTCGGAAGACGTATTAGATTGTAGATAGACAACCCAAAGATTTTGCCCTCATTTTGCGAAGTTTTTTTGATCTGGGATTCAAGGTTTTTCATAGGTGCAAACTCCTATAGTTAACTACTCGTCCCTATAACAGGAGAGCACTTTCGATTAAGGCTAGTCATTAGGCATTAAATATTCAATGTATAGTGGCAACAAACTTGAATTTTAGTTATAAATTTTCAGTTTGAGTTTAAAGCGGATGTTGGGGGAAATGATAATGAACTTAATCAAGATCCAATGATGTTGTTGTCTCGGGCCATCGTGATCTCTGATATATTTAATTAGAGGAGATAATTGACCCAACCCGACTTAAAGATTCTTATTAACAATCATGAGTTTCAAAGGTACCTTTCTAAACCCGGGATGGATGTTTGTCTAATGGGATAAATTTAAGTTAATCTTAGCTGACAATTTATTAATCAAATATATTTTATGATTCACAACTTAAAGGGTAGATAACAGTTGGGGAAAAAACGAGTTACGACCATGACCGTAATACAATGTCTTTTATTGACAAATCATTCAGTAAGAGGGCTCTGGTCATCATCATTACTTAGAGTTATGCTAAATTATGCGGATAGATGACTCGGGTCACGTTCTTACTTAGGTGAGATTATTTTGAGTATGAATATAGTGAAACGCTTGATGTGACGTTCACTCTTCGTGCGTTGAGGTCAATAAAAAAATTGTTATCCTTGGCAAATTGCTGTGGATGTTGGATGGAGTTTGATTTAATTTTTTAAGTGATTGTTTTTGACTTTAATATATTGATTTCTTTGTTTGAAACCCTTAGGTGATTGATTTTAATTTTAATGTTTTAATTTGTTATTTTAAAAGTTTTATTTGAAAATTGATTTAAAATTTATCTCCTTCGGTTGAGATTTTCAGTCAACACAACTATTATATGGGGTTTGATTGTTTGATTTGAACCTTTTAGACTTTATATCTTACTTGAAAATGATAAGGCTTAAGAATAATATATAATTGAATTTGAACATTATCAACTCTGTCATTGAGTATTAGTCAGGAGTGATTAGACACCCCGTCACATCAGCCAATCATGTAATTGGGATCATGAATCGTTGTGTCGTTGAGATAATATAGGTTTGGAGTGAGTAGACACCTGTCTACCTCAGAAAATCATATAATTTAGATCGCGAACGGTTGTGTGGATAAAATAATATCAGTCAGAAGTTTTTAGATTATATTTGACGGTATAGACTGATGTGAAAGTTATGAGTATGAAATATTTTAAGAATTAAAAAATTGCTTCTTGAAAAGTAAAGTAAAAGTTAATGCATATAGAATTTTAGATTATTTCAATTAATTAAATTTCATGAATACATTCATTAAATTATTATATTATTTTCTATAATGAAATATGAAAGACTAACATAAATATTGCTTTCTTTTCCTTGGGTTGATATAGTTTAGAAATGTGATTATTCCATTAGGTTATCTTAGATAATTTTTTATTTATTTTAATGCTTTTCAGGTTTAAATTTTTAATAGAAGATGAATTTAAAGCATATAATGTGTTTAGAATGTGAG